TTTTCTAGAGCTGCTTGTTACAAGGTTTATTGGGCCGCCATCTGCGTGGTTCCGGGGGTATGGCCATTGGTGGCATTTCTGGAGTCCCCTCCAGTTGGTCGGCTGCTTGTGGGATCCCTGTCTACGGTCAACCGCGAACGCTTCTTATGCATGAAATTGGATCGGCTGCTGGTGAGAAAATGACAGCGGGTGAGGCGTTGTCTGCCGACGTAGCTTGTCTAGTATATGACGTTTCCAATCCCGACTCGTTTCGTTACGTGGCGGACCTATTTCTGGTGAGTTCCTAAATCTATTGCTCTTCACATTTTATCCCGTTGCACAGCGTGTCACATTGTAGCACTTTTACTCACCACCCATCAACTGTAACCGTTTTTCGGCTCTGCTTTTCTAGCTGTTCACTGTCATCAGCAACAGCCCAGTATTTTGTTTGGACGTGGCAGAGTCCGATGCCCACACTGTTTACCCCCCCCCTGATTTTATTCGATTAATTTTGAAGCGTCTATTTGATTGACATTCACTGTTACGACAATTCTGCGCTGATGTGTTTTTCTACTGATTCTTTGTTAACGTTTTATGGCCATACTGCTGTTGAGCTCGCCTAGTTCACTTGCGTTCTGACTGTGTTGTCCCCGGCTGTATTATCATCGTCTGCAGCAACGGAAGCGCTTTGCATTTGTACACTACCGCCATGTTGCCACCGTGGCCCAGATAATGCGGAGATGGGGTGACATAACTACTACACCAAATAAACACTCAGGACCAAAGCGATTGCAGCTTACCATTAGCACACGGTCACAAACAGCCGGCTATCGTGTGAAGGTGAGGCGAAATCGGCGAGACAAATTCTCTTTCAGCCTTCACTGTCCCACGCACCATAGTAAACGCCAACACACAGCTGATTCAGCTTGAGACACGCTGCTTAACTTTTCGTGGGTACCAGCTGCGGAACATGTTTTGAAAAGTCTCAAGACAAGTTCCAAGTAGGTTGCTTGGATGCGAATCGAGCCGACAACTGCTTCTCTTCCCTAGCCACACTGCGACAGTGGTGCTCAACCTCCGGCCCACTGGCCTTCGACAAACCTCGTATTTTTGCGTGAAAAACAATATTTTGCATCGTTTTCCTTCAATAAACTCTTTTAGGATTAGTACCTAGATTACCGTCAATCAGAAATTGACACCATAGGTGCAGTGTATTTGTTTTGAGTACTCGTGGACATTTCTAATGATGAAGCACGATTTAATTCCAGAGCCCGGTTAGCATGTGGCAAGGTGGTATCGGACAGTATGAGTTAACAGAAGAACTGATAAGTGAACTCTGAACGTAAGAAAGATGGACTAATGCCCATTTGTTGTTCAACGTCACATCAAGGCGCAGTGCCGCCTGATATAGAAAGAAGCAGTTGCCGTTATTGAAGAAACATTATGTTGCAGAAAGAACCTGGTGGATTGAAACAATTTCTCAGTAAATGATTAGAAGAAAATGTGCCTGTCATAGAAGCAAGCTGTCGTTTTTCAAACAGCATGCAAACTTTTCTCAGCTGAACAGTTAATGAACAAGTGATTTCAGAAGGGTTTGAATGAAGGGTTTAATGAACAAGTTTTTGCTCTCTGTTACCAAGACGATTTGTCTCCCGAGTAGTAGGCGGTTTTTGAAGCTGCTAGTCTCTCCTGTTGTACCAGTACGAGACTTGTGAAGAACGTTGGGCGGGATTTGTTGACGCGTCTAAAATGGTATTTCAAGAATTTTCCAATGCACTGGGGATTCAACAGATATAGTAGACACTTCACAGTTTCTAATTTTTTGTCGCGATACGATTTGCATCATTGAAAAACGTGCGTAGCACAACGATAGCAGATTTCTTTGGTGAAGTCAGTACAACTATTGCTGAGCTTAATTTGCCATGCATTGACCAGCGACAGAGCTAGGCATAACGGTTTAGTAGCAAAGCTGCGTCATACAGTCTAGGAAACCAATGTTGGTTCAAAGCCATTTGAATTGCACTGCATAATTCACCAGGAGGGATTGTGTTGTAGGGTGCTGAACTTAATAAGTATCGTGACGACAGTAGTTAGCACAGTGAATTTCATGCGGACCGATGCATCTAATTCCAGAGCCTTCAAAAACTTTCCAAGAAATTGAGGCTGAGCATGGTGAAGTTCGATGGCTGATTTGAGGTAAAGTGCTCTGAATGTTTTTCAGGCTGAAGCGTGACATTTAAATTTTTATGACATACAAATCAAGACCTCAACTGCTAACTTCAAATCCTGAATGCTTATGGGATCTGGCAACTTTATGTGATCTGACTGCTCACCTGAATGATCTCAATACCAGACTACAAGGCCAGAGCATATTGATTTCTCCAATCTGCGGCGATGTGAAATCGTTCGAAATGAAGTTGTAGCTCTTCATTCAGCATGCACCGGACGACTCATCAGCACGTTTTCCTAGTTGTTCATAACTGCAGTCAGATGTGTTGCAGGATCAGATGTTTTAAATAAAATAAATAAATAAGTTTGCATATTTAACGACAGACGGTATACGGCCCCATAAGTGGGAGCGATCATCGTTGTATCCCTTACAAGCCGATAAAGAGGGATCACTTGTGTTTTGAAATAATCGCACTAGCATGGATCAAATTTACGTGGCAATTGCAAGTTGTGACAGAACTTGTAACGTGAATTCTTGTCCCGAAAATGTTTTGTAGATTGCGTTATCAGTATCAAACTCTTTTTTACACCTTGCATGTATGATGTATGACAATGGTTCATGGGCGCATTGCAATTAGAATGCATTTGCTCATTAAGAAATGTTTCAACACGCCAACACATAATAGTTCTCCTTTGCTAGTAGCAGTCGTCTTGATCCCTAGATTTATCCCTATTGTTCACACGCTCCGGTGCTGGAGCTCTTTACGCGGACTGTACAGCTAAGGAGCGAAGTTGGACAAATTTCTATCCGCTTACCGCTCCACACCAGGTAAAACGACAGGCAAGAGTCCAGGCTAACTAGTGTTTGGCTAGATCTACTATTTTCTGATCAGTCACTACGCGTCTAGGTCCGACAAAAGAAATCTAATAAAAAAGTACCATCTAAATTTCGTTGGAACGAGTCGGTTTACGTCAAGCTACCCCACGAACCGATTTGGCCATCTGCAGAATTACGCGAAATCGTAGGTCAGACAACTGTCATACTACCAGACGAAAGGGTGGTTAACAGTCACATAGACCACGTCCGTCATCGCTCTGTTTCAATCAGGCTAAATGATCTTGTCACTCTTGGTCCGTGGCCTGGAGGGTCACAAACCTTCGTCGTAATCCAAGGGCGCTGTTTTGAGTCTGCGCAGAGACCGGGCGATCCTAACACGACTTGTGTTGGTGGCGCGGCGGCGAATTGTCGGTACGGCATACCGGCGTGCTACAGATCCCAACATTTTACTCTCGTCAACCATACTAGCTGTTCTGAAAGGCACATATCATCCCATCCAGACGCAAACCAATCAAGTGTCTCGCTGGGCTAGAGTACGTCGTGCAATTGATCGTTACCAAGCTACTTGGTCGACTGTGAACTAAAGGGAGCAGGAATGTATCGTATGAACCACCGTCGCCAGTCAACTCTTCAAACACCCAGATCTTTCCCTACATGCGCACGAGTGGGACTGCCCGGTAACCACTCGCTCACTATAAATTTATAGGTCAATTTGGCCCCTTGGGCGAGCGAATTAGGTTTAACAACAAGGGAGTAACTCTGAGAGGCAAACAATTGGTCCATTGCTCAGCTGCTTTGAGGCGGGCGTCTAATTCTCACTTGTGCATGTGTGTAGCTGTTTGTATGACCAAGCGCTTTCATCCAAAAGGACCTCAGACGCACATAGGTAGCAGCGTGTGCGCACCGTCAATCATAGGGGTTCAGGTGATACGCTTCAACCCGAACGTGTTACAGGGTTGGCGGCCGATACACCATGTGGTCACGTACTTCTCTCACCAAAGAAGCGAATCCCACCAATTAGGACGAGAGCTGACATTTGTGCCCAATCGTCTGTGCAACGAGTGGGGGTGGATGGGATAACGAGCCGCAGTCAAATAAGTTTGCCGTGCGATTGTGAACACTTAGTTCATGTAAACGCAATGGTGGGAAGGGGACCGAACACGCGTCACTCGATTAAGGTGAAGAACATAATACTGAGAGCGTACGCGGAAGGAGACGATTCGAAACAAGTTGCTTGTACACTGGGTGTGAACGTGAAACCTTGCCGTAACTCGATACGGGTGTGCTGATGGGGCAGCGCGGGGAAGTCCATCGCAGAGCACTGGGAGAAAGCCACGTCGATTGTCTGGTGGAGTGGGTTTCTGCGGAGCCAACCGTTACCCTTGGACTCCTTCATTTGTGGTTGAAGGCTGAGTTCGAAATTGCGGTAATCACCAGCACCGTCTCAATGTAGTTGGACGGTAGACTGATAACGATGAAGCTGCAACACATCATTCCGAAGTCCATGGACACGCTGGTGAACAAAACGTGACGCAGGTCGTTCGCCTTGCAGTTCATGAATTACGAGGTGTGAATCGACGAGACCAACTTCAACCTATTTGCGCTCGCACTAGGGGCCGCTCACGACGTGGCAGTCAAGCGCAGTGTACGGTATCGAATGTTCATCTTGTCGGTGCCATGACAAACAGCGGCCTGATAGCATGTTTGGTTTTGATAGGAAGATACAACAAGCAAAGAAAGGTGCGCTTGATGGCTGAGACAAGTGCTCGATGCCAGCTCAGCGGCGTTTGTGGAAAGTTGCCTTTTGGTTTGTGAAAACTGGCCCTGTCACACGCATCTGCAGTACGTATTCCTGGAGTATCCTTACCGATCGGGGAAGCTACTATGCCTTGCGCTGTACTCTCCATCACTCAGTCCCATCGGGGGCATCTGGAGTATAATAACGGCTCGTATAAAACAGGTGATGCGAATACGGTACTCCGAAATGCTCCAGGGCGGCCGTGAAGGTATTCTTAGTAAAAGCGAGTGGTGGATTCGTTTTTTGGAGTATGCGCTGTCGGAAGCATGGACCTTAGTGGCACAGCAGCACTGCGAACAGATGGTTAGCACGTCAGAAAGAATTATGGACGTGTTGTTCATTTGGTTGATCTGTAAAATATTCCGCTGGCAATAAACTATCGGGTTTTAAACGAGTGGCAGCGTCCGTTCTCTAATCTGCATTTTACTATGTCCTGCATGTGGGCAGCCAAAGGATGCCTACGCCTAATGAGTGATGGACTATGATTGGCT